GAGGGTAGGAGTGGGAGAGAGTCATGTATTCCAGGAAGAGGAGCTTCAAGTGCAAAGGTTCTGGCGCAAGGTGGAACTTGGAAAGTTCTAGGAACAGGAAAAAGCCAGAATGGCTGGAAAATATGTGAGATGAGTGAGAACTTTGGATTTTATTCTGAGTGCAACAGGATGCCATTTTAATGATCCAAGCAGGAAATTAGTTTAAGGTCATGCTAGTTTCTGGATGAAGAATGGATAAAGAATGGACAGAACAGAAGCAGAGATACCGATTAGGAAGCTGTTGCAGGCTTCCTGTTGTGGAAGGAAAACATTATAAACACCTCTTTTGAAAGGAAAAATATAATTAGAATATGAGCTTCCATTTTAATAAAGGAATCAGTTTTTTCTGTGTAAAATACTTTGCTGGCTAGATAGGATAAGCCAAGGCAGTGGTTCTCAAAGTGTGGTCCCTGGACCAGCAGCACTGGCATCACCTGGAAACTTGCTAGAAATGCATATTCTCAGGCCCTACCCCAGAAAACTGAATCAGAAACTATGAGGATGAGGCCCAGCACTTTGTTTTTATTAAGACCTTCCTGGTGATTCCAGTACATACTCAAGTTGGAGAAGCACTTAGCTAAGAAGAGTCTTAGGCAAATACTTCCACCTCAGGAAGAAACTTCTTTTTATATTTGTAGAACATTATTTAAGTAATAACACAAATCATAAAACTATGACCAGTGAAAATTTTAATTATAAAGGTTCTAGTTCCAGTAATATGCAGACTTAACTTTTTTTTAAAAGCATCTTGAAATGCTGAATAACAAATATCCTTTTGAACATATAGCTGACTTATGAAAAAAATAAGAGAAATTCCCAGAGGCCAAAGGTAAAGCAGTTAGTTAAAACAGTGAACTTGTGAGCTGACTTTGTGGCTCTGAGGTTGGGCCAGGGAGTGGCCACTAACAGAGCTGGTGTGTCAGCAAGGGTTTTTTCCCTTTCTTTTTTTTAGCACAATAATAATTCATATTAACAGATATTTACAGTTTACAAAGCACTTTCATTTAAATGATTTTGTCTATTAGAGGGTAATACACGTTAGGAGCTGTAATTTGGTAAGATGTTATATTAGTTTAGAAAGGCTTTGGAAGGAAGTGACTTTTTTATTGGAATCAAATAGATGGGAAGAAAATGGTTTTCACAAAGTATTTTTTAATTAGTATAGCCTGAACTCCCCCATAATCATATTGTACTTGCCTTATAATCACTGTCAAAATAGGGGGGGTCCTTCTTTGGGTATCCAATATTAATGCCTGTATAGGGAGAGGAGATGATATCTTGAGGCCTCAACAAAAAGATGGAATCTTGACAGAGCTAGACCTATAGAAAAGAGTAGGCTAGAAAAAAATTATCCACTTATACAGGAAGAGAAAGAATGCTTGAGATATCAACTCGTGTACTGGACAGAAAGACAAAAACAAAAATAAAACATTACTGAGACCTCATAATCACTCCAATTTTAGTATATGTGCTGCCGAAGTGAGCACATGAGACATCAAAATCATACTGTATAATACCATTTATTTATTTACTTTCTAAAAAATTTTTATAAGAGTTTATTTGAGCCAAACTGACAACATATGTCAGGGAGCAAGATCTCAAATGCTCCTGTATGACTCCATTTACATGAAATGATCAAACAAGGCAAATCTATAGAGAAAATAGGTTAGTAGGTGCCTAAAATGAGGAGTGGATTGATTGCAAATATGAATGAAGGATCTCTGATGGAAAAGTTGTAAAACTGAATCGTGGTGATGCTTGCACAACTGTTTAAATTTGCTAAAAATTATTGAATCATACACTTAAAATGTGTCAATTTTATGGTATGTAAATTGTGCCTCGATAAAGCAAAATGAACATTTTGAGATGTTTTAACTTTTAAAATGATCACACCTTTCCAAGGGCTAGAGAAGAGAAAAATAGGGAATGAGTACTTAGTGAGTATGGGGTTTCTTTTGGGATGATAAATATGTTCCAGAACTAGATAGTGTGATGAGTGCATAACATTTTGAATGTATGAAGTGTCACTGAATTATACACTTTAAAATGGTTAAAATGGTAAAGTTTGTGAGTGTTTTACAACAATAAAAATGATTGTGAGTGTTTTACAACAATAAAAATGATACCAGTTGATATAAATAAAATAGCAATAAAGCTTACTATGCATTTTTTTCTAGATGATTTTTAAAGCCTTTTTATTTTGAAATAACTATAGGCACGTAAGATATTTCAAAAATAATAAAGAGAGGTCTTGTGTACCAATTACCCAGTTTCTCTAAATGGTAGCATTTTACCATACAGTACCAATAATACTTTATCCAAACCAGGATATTGACATCGGTACAATACAATTGACTACAGACCTTACTCACATTTTTTTGGTGAGTTATTTTATTTTATTATTTTTAAATTAATTAATTAATTTTTCATGGTGACATTGGTTAACGAAATCTGGTAAGTTTTAGCTGTACATTTTAACGGTAAGGCATATGTATATTTACATTGTGTGTTCACCTCCCATAGTTAGATTTCTTTCTGTTACCACATATTTGACCCCTTTTATCCCATATACCTGCCCCGGTGAGTTATTTTAAAAGCTATAAAATACCCAGTGTAGATTTCCACTAGTTAAGATGAACTATCTGACCATTCTCATCCCATGGAAGAAAACATTTTGATTAAAAAAAAAAAAATGGTTTCTCTTTTTTTCCTGACAATAACTCAACGTTTTTCATTTTTTTTTTAATATCTTCCACAGGGTAGGATTGAATTAAAGGGATGAGAGTAGAGATGAAGAGAAGAAGGTGATTTGGAGATAGAACCAAGTGGATTAAAAAGTGGATTTGGAAATCATAGGAGAGGGAGAAATCAAGGATAGCACATGGGATTCTGGCTTCTACAACTGGATGGATGGCAGGACCACTTACTGAGATAGGGAAGTCTTAGAAAGGAATTGGTTTAAAGGAAACATCGTGAGTTCATTCTCAGGCTTGTTCAGCATGAGAGGTCTCTGAGACATCTTAGTGGAAGTTTAATAGGCTGGCTGTACGATAGAGGCCCTAGAGAATAGAAGAGAGGTCTGAGCTAAAGTTACACAATTAGAGAGGAGATATCACACATACATAGTATTTAAGTTCCTTCTCAACTCTATTCATGTATCCCGTAAATATTTATTAAGTGATTCTAAGTCTTAGGGATGCAGGAGTAAAGAAGACATACAAGGTCAGTCCCTGTCCTCATGGATCTTACGTTCAGTGTAGGCAGCTTGTATATTATAGACAGGATAGGGTGGTGGCATTGTCCAGGCAGGCTAAAGGAAGGAGGTCACAATGTGTACTTTATGATGAGATCTATGATATAACTGGGTGGCACTGAGAGCCTTGCTTTCCTCCTATGGGGAGGGTACAGGACACCCCATGTATTATTTTTCTGCTCTTGCACCCTCCATTCAGGGCCCAGCCAGACTTCTCTTTGGAGGTAAGTAAATGGATAGGGAGGCAGGAGATGAGGGTTTCGGAGGAGGTGTGGTAGGGAGGGTTGGGGAGCCATGGAAGCCAGCGGGACAGAGCATTGTGGGGTTGTTTGTGGCCTCATTCCTCTTCCTTCCCAGTCCCGAGTAAAGAAGCCAGTCTGCTGCCTGCCGCAGAAGCCACTGCCTGGACCAGACATGAAGCGCTTATGGCAGATTTTTGTCCTGTGGGTACTCTGGGTTTTCATCTTGTGGCTGATGGCCCCCTGCGTAGATCAGAAACCTGAATTGGAACCCCACGAAAAACTGACCTACTTGGTACCAAGGTGTTGCAGCTGCCTTTGGTTTAAATTTAGAAAGTGTGGCTGCCCATCTGGGACCCTCAACTACTCCCTCTGCAACCACACAGTCAGAGAACAGAGCTGGTTTGATGCATACTACGAGAAGACGATGGGATTCCTGATGGGGGCAACAGAGTCCATGCCCCGCAACGCTGAGCTCTCATGGTTGGTCAGTGGTCAACACTGGGCCTAACCCCATCCTCTGTTCTTCCCAGGCCTACCTAGCCCACCTCCCACTTTCTAGCCCAAACCCCCACCCTTGGCCCTGGCTTAGTGTACCTCCCATCTTCACAGCCTCAGCCCTCTTACCCACCCAGGTCTGCTTTCCTTCCACTGGGAGCTGATGCCTGGGTCCCAGCCTCCAATCTCTTCCCTCTGGCTGTTTCCAGGGCAAAAACTCAGCAAGGGCACTGGGCAAAGTATGGGAGAAGCTGTTAACGGTGATCCATTTTGACCTCCACTGTGGGACTTGTGCACTGGTGGGGAACTTAAAGATCCTGCGGGCCTCCAGCCTTGGCAACATCACCCAACACACTGCCGTCTTCAGCTGAGCATTGAGAAGAGGGCAGGGAGCAGGAAGATACAGACCTGTCCTCAGATCTCTCAGTTTCTGCTCTCCTTCCCAGGATGAACCAGACTCCTGTTCACAGCTTCGAGATGGTGGGGAACCAAACCACGGGACACTTCATCTGCCACAGGGATGCTGGGGCCTGGGGTTCCTGGAGACAGCTGCTGCTACTTCTGCTGAAGCTTTCTGGTCTGTCATGGACTTCAGACACTCTGAGTGAGGAGGCGATGGTCTGGGAACCCAGACATTCTTAGAATGGGGGTGAGAGGCGGTCACTGCAGGAGAAGGCAGGGGGCTCCAGGAAGACCCTCTACTGGCTTACTGGGGGAACCCGCAGGAACTTCCCAGGTCTCAGGGGCTGCTGAAATGCCCCCACCTCCTAATTTTTCTCAGATTTTGGAACATGATCCAGTTCCCTATTGGAATGGAAGATAGCAAAGACCAGGTAAGGGGACAGAAAGGAGTAAGATGTGGCTGTGGACGGGGCACCATGTAGGCCCCTCCCCTTTCTCCCCCAGGTCCTAGGGATCAGCCCAACCTTCCTCAGGTACAACCAGGGCAACAGGCTGGATAACCAGGGTGAGTACCATCCTTGGGGCTCGTGGCTCTGTTCTGTGCCTTGTCCATTTGTGACCCAGTTAAGACTGTTATCCCTTACTCACTTAAAACTTCTCTCCCCTATGCCTTCAGCATAAAGTCTAAAAATTTCTGCCTGGTTTTCAATACCCTGACCCTTCCCCTCTCCTCCCCTCTCCCAGGCTCATACACTAGGCTTCTCGGC